TTGGGTTATGGCTTATTCAAAATATTTCTTGATTCGCTAATCAAGAGCGCCTCATATAAATTATTTTGTAATTGAGGATGCGACGCGAAACATTTGTCGTATCTTTTGTTGGTTATGGACTGATTGTGAGTTGTTATTTTGAAGCAAATGAGATAAGTAATGAATCATTTAGCCTTGACACTACTCTAAAATTGTACAAGTAGGATGCATCTTATTGACATTTTCTCGTGAATTCCCATATATTGTTCTGACGGGTATTGTTGTGTTGTTGCAGGATCGTGCGCATCGTATCGGTCAAAAGAAACAAGTTCGGGTGTTCCGTTTTATCACTGAAAGTACCGTTGATGAGCGTATCATTGAAAGGGCAGAGATGAAGTTGCGACTCGATTCTATTGTCATTCAACAGGTGCGTATTGGCTGCATTTTAGTCGACTGCGTGATGTCTTTGTTATGATGTTGATGCATTGGCATTGTCGAGCAGTTGGCATTTCCTCTCAAAGCTTTTACAGTATTTGAAGGAATTCAAGAATATGGAGAATTGTCTGAAGCTTTATTAGGCAGAATTTCTATTGGAATGGCGATTCGATTCTGTCGCTATCGTTCAGTTACATTGTGAATCAGTAATTCACTAATTGATAATCTCAGCTAAAGTTACCAATACATTGTAGTTTTCAATCAGACTCGGCGGTTCTGTTCTTTATTTTGTTGATCGTTTCATTTGATGGTTTCAATTTAAGGGACGTCTATCGGATGCTCAAAAAGCGTTAGGCAAAGATGATATGTTGGATATGATCCGTCATGGTGCGGATCAGGTGTTTGCGTCGAAAGATAGTATGATAACAGATGAGGATATCGACTCGATTCTCGAAAAGGCAGAACAAAAAACTGAGGTGTGTTCGTTTATTACTATTTTTCGTTGCAATTGTTCCAGTTGAACATCAGATCATTTCAAAATAACAATGCTCTTGTTCAGTCAGCAACCAAATCATTCAATTGATCTACTGTATTGTTTGGTTTTCAATAATTTGAGAAGTTACAATTATTTATTTTATGTAATTTTCGACGAAAGTTTTCAGCAGTAGAATGTGCAGATTATAATCGTAAATTGCTTCTTCACGATGCATTCGTTGAGATAATTAAATAATCATTTGAAGGCTCTTAAAAAGAAACTCGATTCACTGGGTGAACCGTCACTGCGTAATTTCACAATGGACGTGCCAGGGCCATCGCTAACTGAAGACGGTTCATATACGGTGTATAAGTTCGAGGGTGAGGATTATCGTGAGAAGCAAAAGCAAAGCGGAGTTGGATATTGGATCGAACCACCGAAAAGAGAACGAAAAGCGAACTATCAAGTGGACGCTTATTTCAGGTAGAAAACAACAGCAATCGAGTAGTTTCGCACACTAAATTTTTTGTTAAATCCAATTTTCTAAAATCATTTCATTGATCGTGAAACATTGATTGTTGCTATTTGTTAAGAGGAAAGCGCACAGTAAGTGCTGGAGTGCTTTTGTTATTGTTTTTAGTTGAAATTCGTGTTTTTCATCGAAATGAATTTGGCTGTTCGTATTTTCAAATATATGTCAAATGGTTGATCCAGTAAGAGTTTTTGTTTTAGAGAAGCAATGCGTGGAGGTCATTCAGAACCGAAAGCTCCAAAAGCACCTCGTCCACCAAAACAACCAAACGTTCAAGATTTTCAGTTCTATCCAAAAAGATTATTCGAACTGTTGGAGAAAGAGGTCTATCTTCATCGAAAGACTATTGGTTATAAGGTGAGTTCGTTCTCGTTTTCGTTCAGCTGAACTTTTTCATCCATTTTGGGCGTATGCAACAGAGATCGTACGAAGGATTTGTACAATGATAATTCACTAAGGGTAGGAATATGATTTTTCGCGAATTATTGAAGTCACTCGTTAGTAGTGGATAATCTTTGTTATACGTCACTCGAGAATGCATTATCTTAATTAGTTGAAGTAATTGATAAGATTGATTATATTCGTCGCTTGAGATAAACACGCACCTCTGCTATGTTCAGCACTCATCTTAAGGGATGATTATTCATTATGCTGTGGATTGTAATTCTTAATTTCCGATATATTTTATGTTATCTTCGAATTATAATCATCATGTATTAGATTAGCTCAGTTCAGTTCTCACTTTACACAATTTTTACAAACAGCTACAAATCTGCAATCATATGCCTGGTAATAAATGAAATAAAGTAATTTCAAACCGAGAAAGCCTTAGTCAAAGGTAGAAATTTGATTGAAGTATCAATCAGCTTTTTGAAATTGTTTGTAATAGAGAATCGGAAATCGACAGTTCAAATTGTTTTGATTGTTAGGTTAAAAATATCGATATATACTGCAGAAATTATGCACTTTGCAGTTTCAAACAATTATTCTATTGAAAGAATCATTCATTCGTTTACAAAACATTTCATAGACAGCATACAGAAATTTGTTAAATTATGCGATGAGAAATATTAGGGTTCGTGCGGTATTTTTTGTAGAGTAAAGTGGTTGATTGAATGCGCTCCAGGGTGGCATCCCCTTCGAATTGAAGTCGTCTTTGCCAATGATCGCTTCAGAGCAATGCACAAACCGTCTCAATCCCACTCATCCAAATATCGATCCCTGTCCCTTCAGTTTTTCATTTCAAAGGTAATTAGCGCAGAGGATAGGATCATATTTGAAGCATTTTGATCAAATATCAAAATACTTCGAGTTTGATCAGGTAATCAGGATCATGCTTAAAGGTGATCATTAAAAGGGGCATGCAAGCCATCAGCGGCAATGACATCGTCATCGTTATTTTCATAAGTGATCTCGATATCACCTTTGATTTGTGACGCCATCTCTGCCTCTTCCTCTAAACTCGTATCTGATGATCCCCAATGGTCATCGATTGGATTCTCATCATTGTCGATTACATCCTCCGGGAAATGTATCAGAACGGGTGCCTTCGTTTTGTCTGCTATCGGAAATATTAAATATTGTGTCGTGTGGAAATTGTTGATATCTGACGAACTGAAATTGATTTGTTTGTTATCATTAGTTCGTTGCTGAATTCATTGTTTATGGAAGAAACGTACTCACATTAGTTCGTTTCATTTAACGACACTTCAGCGGTTTTTATTTAGTTTAGTATTGGAATGACAATGTTCATTCACTTGATTTGCCTCATAGTCAGTTATCAGTTCGATCACTGCACACAAATGTCTAATGGTAGTGCTGAATTGGAATCTTGATTTCATTGAATGCAATATTTCGGATTAATGCCCTGGGTAGATTAGTGCTTTAAAAGGCAGTAACCGTGAGGATAGGAATGGTAGTAACAATGAGTTTTTGACACCTTGAACGTCTGAGCTCGGCAGAGACACATCGAGCGCTCGAATCTTGTGCTTGAAGGTGATTTTCGAAGCTGTGTTGGTTCATCGTTTTTGTTGGCTTTGGAGGATGTTTAGTACGGTATTTGTGATGGATGTCGTTCGTTTTATTTCTTCTCGAACGATCGGCGCTCTTGTGATCAATCGCTATGCTTGCAGCGCTTCCAGCTGCAATATTGTTCATGCTTCGACTCAATCGCATCGCATCGCCAATCTTCGATGGGTTTCCTAAAATTCGGAAATTATTCTGCAAATGAATTCATGTCCGTTTTCTAATGCAGTTTCCAAATCCAAGTGAGCTTTCAAAGGGGATGAATTTTCATTGACTACGGTTGTATACGTTGATATTATGAGTATTCATATCATTCGTTTTTGAAATTTTCACTCTGGTGAATTGAGGATTTTTTTGAATGGACGGATTAGAATGAAAATGTCAGGCAAATTGAAAAGAACCAAATTTGGATGTGATCATTTGTGGATTAATCGATTTGACGATTGATGACGATGAAGAGAGTGTCGTTCGTGACGAGTCGTTACCCAAATTCGGTAGCAACACTTTTGAGATTCGTTCTTTGATTTTAGACATTGAATTGTTGTGGTTGAGTCGATCGTAACGAATTGACATTTTGTATCCCTTAATTTAGTTCTTTTTTTGAGCATTCTTCTAAATGGATACTGATTCCACTATGGATCGATAGAGTCCGTGTGCAGACATTGTACCAGTATTTTTATGTGATGAATGAATTATGGAACTCTTCAGAGTGAGCTTCAAACAATGAATTCTCATTCAAAAACCATTGCTGAATTCAAGAAACTTGGGGATTTAACGAGTAGTTGGGATTGTAAATTGCGTGGTTTATCAACGTCGTTACAACGGCGTGTGTTCAAAATTTATTCCCAAGAATGAGTTTATAAGGAAAAGAATACATACCTGAAAGAGGATGTATTGAAGAAGTGTGTAGTCAGGTTGGTAATCAGAGAAGGATAAATTCGGTTCATTGACCGTGAAGTAACTTGGTGATTGTCGAACGTTTCGAACGATAACGCCGTTTTGGATGCTGCAATTAAATTATCAAACTTCGGAGTGAGATTATTTTGTATTCACAACTGCTAGCAAACAGGTAATGTTCAGTCAAATAAGCCATTTTCGTGGTTATTATGAAATCGCGCGTTTTGAAAATATTTATCTAGTTGTAAAATTCAGTTTTTTCATTGAGGCATTTTAAAGTGTATCCGATTCTCCATTTCGATTCTTTAAAGTTCTGTGGGAGTGTCACCCGTAGTTAGAATGAATATTTTTTTTAAATAACAAAATAGCCTCAACAACGAACTCAGCAATTGGCATCGCAAAAACGTCATCAGTTT